GAGCTCATTCATTATCAGTGTCAGTAGAAAAGATACTTACACCTAAATACTGTTTAAAAAATATTTCATGTTACTCAAATCAATGCTAGTTTCTGCTTGTTCAGTGCAATGGGAAGCATCTCAAAACACTAAGCATGCAATGCAATAAACACGGAATATATAATGTGAGTTGCTGAGGATTCCAGTGATAAATACTCTAAAGATCACATGCTGCCACAGTCAGGCAAATATGTAAAACATTGATAACAAGAGATCACAAAATAATGGACAAATAACGTATATTTGTATATACTTTAATGATGGCAGCAGATCTTTCTTCCCTCCCGTTGGTATAGTTTATATTATTATTCCTGTCCTTTCTCACTTTCTACTGTTCCTCACCTGCCCACCAATAACCTCTACTAAGTTAATTCTCCAAGAGTGACTTCAGTTATTCTTTTGTCATAACCAAAGGTTATCTTTTTCATCCACTTATCCACTTAGCATGGCACAGACCCTCTGTTTCCAGTCAATGATAACGACTGAAAACAGAGTGTTAATGATTGACGTATTAGGCGAAAATCATGTGCCATAGTAAAAAGTAAGCACTCTGTTTCTTCAGAGGAAGTCTATTTAAAATTGAACACAGTCTTTTAGTTACTAGCTTTAGAATTTTTTACATATTTGATCAGTAAGAGTATAGCTAACTTGTTTTTCCAAACTCACAGCAAATGCACAAATTATAAAATTTTATATTAACATGCTCATACGAGTCACTCCTTGTAGCTAAACTCTTGCAAATTTTTTTCAATATTCTGTAGAAAACTGCTACTCTGTCATCAGGCATCCCCAGGTCATAAAACACTCACGTAGTGAGTGGCACAGGTAGCACCAGCACACCAATGGCAGCAGCAGTGTGAGAGAGGTGGCTGCCCCTCCTGCTCTCCACATCATATCAGAGGTGGCACTCGATCCACACAGCTGGTACCTTGGGCATCCCAGAGCTGGAAAATAAAATATTCAAAACAGTAGTTATTAAAAACCGTGGCTTCTTTATACAGCTGAGTAAATAAAGCTTGGGTAAACGCTCAAATCCCAAGTTATTCGTCTTTATTAAAGCCGAATGAAATCTTATTTAGGGATTTCAGGGGAAAGGCTGTGAAAAACAAATAAGCATCATCTACACTAAATAATAAACTGCAACCACACTTATAACATCCAGAACAACATCTGCACAAGTCAAGAATATGTTCTGCCTTCACCTTGCTAGGACGACCCTCTCCAAGATAAAAAATTACATTTTAATATGTGAGCATGCAGCTGCTGTATCCATACCTGCTCTGAGTCTGTCCCATTAAGAGTGATTAACAGTGGATGTGAAGGTAGTTAGTGTCCAAACAACAGCGGCAGTGCTGCTGTACTGCTCCTCCATTACATGCAGGTTCTTTCTCTCGCCTTACACAGATGCTGCTTCACTCCCTGCTGCCTCCAATTGTGAACAGGCAACGCATGCTCATCCCCTCCTCCTCCTGTTCCTTAGGAGAGTCCGCCCCCAGCACCATCACCGTTTTCCATCCTTCCTGTTTCTCTAACATTCTCGTGGTCACTAATAACAGGCAAGAATAATTGCACCCTCCATGCAGCCACCTCATTGCCTCTCCAGAGCAGCTAATGGTAAGCTCTGCCACTGCCACTCTGCTTTGCATCTAACCAACAGTTTCCAGATCATTACCTGGTGCCCACTGCCACACATGATGCTGTATTTTGTGATACTAGTTCCCCCCCACAATTCTGTGTCAATATGTTTGCTTCCATGGTGACAGCATATTGTGCGATGCAGAAATGTTAACGTGCAAGGGGGAAGATAAATATTAACCAAATTCTGTTGGAAAACCATTTTCCAAAGTCAGTGCAGCATATTTACATTTTACTGTCATATGTTTTGTTTTGTAAAATACTAAATACATAACAAAACACAATTTTGTGTGAGTATGCAGGGCGTGTGTAAAAGCACTCTTGTTATTTAGTATTAAAACCTGTTAAATATAACCTATTATATTTTTCATAGCATCTGTGAAACGGTAATGGGAGAGCTTTCTGAAAAATATCAGAATTATCTGGTATATGCAAAGCTTTACAAAAAAAAAAATCAAATCCTGGAAAAAACATTTCAGGATTTGCAGATGAGCAGAAGACATTAATCTCTTGCAGTTATTTCACAGCCAAAGTTTTAGTATGTGCAATAAACCACCATAGATGCACCGACATGCATCTACATAGGCTATATATCGACATATGAAACTCTTATAAATTTTAAACCAATAAATTTAGAATGGTTGCAAATTTACAAACGATCAAACCTCATTAAGGTCGCATAACATTTACATGACATTACACAGAAACAAATATAAAGCTAAGAATTAAGAATCATTCAAACAAAATTACAAAATGAATACAGAATGACTTATCCATTAAGAAATGCAGCTTCAA